GATTCCCATTCGAACCAGTTAAAGATGGGCAGGAAGACATGGCTTTAAAGATGTCCACTGGATTTCTAGAAGACAGCAATGCTGGTGGCAGCATAGTCTTTGCAGCTTTCAGAATCCTCACATATAAATAGAAAGGCAAAGCAAAAAACCCAAGGACAAAATTTACAACAAAATTATGTGGGAAGATACTCCAGGGAGACCACAAATACAATAGATAGGGCAAAATACCAATAGCCACAAGACCTCCACGTGGGGAAAAAGCACTGGGAAGGAATGGGGCATCTGATGAATCTGAGAACCGGAGAAAAAAGTATTCACTGAAAAATGTGAATATTTTCCTTCAGGCTAACTGGAGATAGCTGAAACTGGGAGGGGATGTGACATTTCCATACAGGTGAGGGCTACATTACAAACGTCTAAAGGGGATGGATTTTGATCCCCATACCAGCCAGGAGCCATCAGTCAGTCAGTCAGTCAGTCAATCAATCAATGGGATGGAGCAGTGTAGCCCCCAGTAACTCCTAAACTTAACAGCCAGACTCCCTTCTAGGACAAGGCTGTACAAAATTGAACAGGACAAGGAAAACAGAGACAAAGGAAAGAGAAGGCCCGATAAAAGCGAGGAAGGGAAAGACAGCCACGAAAAATCCCAGAAAGCAAGCTGCTACATTTCTGAACACTTCACAAAATCAACAAAAGAAGGAACTCAGTGAAGTTGGAAAAACTATCTAAACAGGAAACATTCAGGAAAACTAATTTTACGTAAAATTAAATAAGCAACATAAAAACACTGAGGTTAAATACCATACAAGGTTATTAAAAGAGAATAGAAAGAATAACATTGCTATTGACAAATAAAAGCTCATGAGAAAGACATGCTCAGAAAAACAGAAAAACTTCTAACTTATGATTTCACAATGAGCTAAAAGATATTCAGTATGACACAAAACATGAAAACTAATTAGAATCAGAAAAACTAAGAAACAAGGTGACAACACATGAAAGAATTAAAGTAAATTAAAGAAAGAATTAAAGAGAAAAATCATTTCAGAAATGAAGACTAAACTAGAAGGAAATGAGTGACTAAGTACAACAAATGCCTTAAGAGAAACATAAAGTGAAAAGGAAAATAAAATTTAAAAATCAAAGTACAAGGAAAAGAGATAAAAAGGATTTGAGAGAAAGTGACAATTACTGAAAAGAGTCACCGAAGATCCAAAATATGTATAAATGGAGTCCCAAAAGAAAACCAAGGCAAGAAACAGAATAAACACAAAAAATTATATTTAAGAAAAATTTCTGAAAATATAAAAGACTTAAAAATACATATTTAAAGGGCACACTAGGTGGGCTGGTTAGCTCAGCTGGTTAAAGCAGTAAGATCAAGGGTTCGGATCAAGGGTCAGATCCCCATACCAGCCAGCCGCAAAAAAAAAGTAAAAATAAAGTGCACAATGTATACATGAGAATACTGAACCAGAATGACTAATATCAAGACATATTTTAGTAAAATTATGGGACTTTAAAAAAAAAAAGAAGAAATCCTTTGGGCATTTAGGTATTGACAGGGGTTCTCTCTGGGTGGTACAATTATGGGTAATTACATTTTCTGGGGGGTGGGAGGGAGTGGGGGATGGGGAAAGGTTGGTAGACCAGTACAAAGTTACACAGTTAGATAGGAAGAATAAGTTCTGGTGTGCTATGGTGACAATAGCTAATAATATTGCATTGTATATTTCAAGACAGCCACAAAAGAGGCTCTTGAATATTATAACCACAAAAAAATGATAAATGTTTAGGTGGTAGATATGCTAACTATTCTGATTGTATCATTATACAATATATGCATGTATTGAAACAACAAACTATACCCCATAAAAATGTACAATGAAAAAAACACTTTCCTCCCTTTGCTTCTTTGAATATTCTACAACTAATAGTTTTATTATTATTTGGGGGTTTTGGGGAGACAAGGAAAAGATATAATAGAAATATAGTTGCAGTGCAAAGCATTCTCAGGCCAAAAATTGGAATTCTTAGGAGCCTGGGGTCATGGTTTCTACTGATGAAGGGAAGTCCTTATAAAGGACTATGAACTAGCAACATCAGGTCAGAAATTCCCCTCAGAGAATGCCTCTTTTTCTCTGGCATCACCGCTTCTGGAATATGGTCCCATGCGTTAGGGCTGCTCTACTTCTTTCTGTGAATAGATGTAATGGTACTGTTCCTAATAAATTAACCTCAGACAATGACTATTTGAGAGTAAGACCAACCCATACCTTCTTTAGTGCTACAAAAGAGGCCTGCCCGCTATGGGGGCTCAGCAAACTGTCAGTCTTCCTACCTGCCACCCTTAAGGTGATGTCACTCAGGTGATCCCCAGGCTGCAGGTGACTATATTCTTGGATGAAGTGAGTAAGCGAGATGTCTACATGGAATTTGTGTGGGTATGGGTCTTCTCCGTTGACTTTTAGTTGGTGAATTGCTTGACTGCGAATTTTATAGTATTGCTGTCAAAGGAAAAAAAGAGCCCTTGAGAAGTTGAACCTGATCAGAGCAGTGGCCCATCTAGCAAGTACTGTATTTTGCCTCAGAGTGGCCCCAACACATTGAGGTTTTCCTTAACCAAGCCCACTGCACTCTTGAAATCAAGGGATTGAATATGGAGTGAGATCTGTACTTAAAATATGTAGGATGGCTAAGGCCAGAATTCCAAAATGCAAGATTCAACAAAGAGAAAAATTGGAGTCCTACCTAAAATAATAAAAGTTTAATTGGTATAGGTGGCGATGGTCACCACTTTTGTGGACCACATCTACATGGTGAATAGCTTATCTACTTAACCACTCTCCTATCCCTATTAGACTTTTTTCCAAGGCAGGCCCATAGGGAAACAAGAAATATACTACGGTAGAGGGCAACAAGCTTTTCCTGACGCAACTTCTCAACTCTGCTGTTGTAGCGGGAAAGCAGTCTTAGATACATGTAAACAAATGGGCATGGCTGTGTTCCAGTACAATTTTATTTACAAAACCAGGGAGAGGACGATGAGGTGGAAGAGTGGTAAGGTGGATCTGGCCTGTAGAATGTAGTTTGCCAACCAACGGTCTAAAGTAAACTCTGGTCCATCTTTAGGGAGACACTTTCTCTGAGGCTGCTACAAGGCCCCGCTAGTTCTAAGAAAGAATAATCAGTCACTTGGGGGTACTGGAGTCTCCCAACTGCCTGTTGGGAGTTGATACAAAAAACACTCCTTTAACCAGATAAGCAGTGACCCAGGACCCAGTGCCTATTCATCTTCTTAGTCACTGATCCCTCCTACTGTTTGGTCCCAAGGAATTTGCCATAAATCTCATCAGAAGCTTTCCTGTGCCCAGCCATGCCAGTGCAGGGGACTCACATTTGGGTCCAGAGTCTCCTCCTCTGTAGCCACACCATTATCAGTAGTGTGGTTAGTGGCAGCAGCAGTGGTCTGGCTTAGCTGTTTCTCACTGAGCTCTTTCTGCCTGGCTTCCTTCTCTGCCACTTTCTTCTCAGCTTTCAGGCGTCTCTTTAGCTCACTGTTGGGAAAATGAAAATATTCAATGTTATAGTTGTCTGAACAATCCTCTATGTTCTGCCCCACAGCCACTTATCAAAAATATAAATAGCCTGGGAGATATGCTCTTGTTCAGTTTTACACCCCCAACTTCACACTCCCAACTCTAGTCTCTTAGTCACTGAACTCTACACATGAACTCTATAAGTGAAAGAGACAAAGGAAAAAGTAAGTTTAGAAAGAAGACGCAAAAGATCACATTCTTTGCTTTCCAGTCTCAGGTCCTTGGCATAGATCCCAACTAAAAGCAAGATGCACCAGGACAAAGAAAATCCTATGTATTCATTTATATTTTGAATAGAAAAAAGGTTTTCTAGAAAGTGAGCAGGATAGGCTTTTCTCCAGCTAAGTAGGCTAGGGAGCTCCTTGAGGACAGGGAATGAATCTTAGTTGTCTGATACCCCCTGCAGAAGATTAAGTTCCTATAGTACCAGATTTAATGTGTGATAAGGCAACATCTCCAGCTCTGTCTGTCACCTCCTCTCTGCCCCTCCCGGAGGAGTAAATTAGGTTGGGGGTTGGGGAGAGCTGGCTCTTCAGAGTTCAAGGAGACATCCCATGGACAATCTCTCCAAGAATAGCTCTCAGCATTGGTCTCACTTGACCCACTGGAGCCTGACTTTGACAAACGAGTAGAACAGTGTACAAAGCAGCACAGTATAGAGGATAATATACTATCTTTGTAGTCAGATTGCCAAGGACTAAATTCTGACACACATACCAATTATGTGACACTGAGCAAGTGACTTAACTTCTTCACATCTGTAAAATGGAAATAACAAGACAACCCTCACCGGTTGTTGTGAGGATTGAGATAAGGTTTGTAAAGGGATGATCCTGTACATAGCATTTGGTTAGCACTGAAATGTGAGCTATTCTAGGTATCCCTCAGTATCTTAACCCTTCACTCTGCAACTAGGACAGAAACCGTATAGATTTGGAAACATTTCAGGTCAAATCCCTTGCTATCCAAACTCTTGGTACTTGTTACCTGAGACTCAAAACCCAAACTGATATAGACAACTCCGTACTCCTTATGATCTGAACTTGCTATTTAAACCCAGAAACAAAAGAAATTTGAGTAGAAAGAGATATCCTCATTATTCAAAGAGAATTTATGGATTATTCTTTCAAACCACTGATGATAATAGAATACTCTGCAATAGTGAAGCACGGCAAAAAATCCCAAGTCATGCTTGTACATTGTCTGGCTTCAGGGCACATTCTTTATTTGACCCGAGTTTAGAATAATTAAGAAAAAAATTAATTGGAGATTTGAGTTGATCATCTTTTAAGTAAGACAAACTGATTCTGATGGCTTCAAAGTAGGGAAATCTTTCTAGATATAATCTGTCTTTTAACAGTTGTAAAGACAACCTTTCCAAAACACTGTGCTATCATACTGTAATTCAGATCTGTCATGCTATGATTTAGTCAGTGGGCATCTAAGGCTATCTAATTCTTCCCAGGATTAAGATAAACCTATTTTCCATTCAACTAGGTGTTCCTCTTAAATCAAATAAATCCTAAGGATAATCTAAAAAAGTCCTAGGGATAGCACCAAGACAAGAAACCAAATTAATCTCAGGAGCAAACGAAATCTCAGAAAGACAGAAAAGGGAAAATAACATTACAAATTCTTTATTCAAACAAGGGTTTTGTTCTCAGCACTGTTCTACAATAGGATCCACAATTCATCTCAAGGAGATGAAAGGAGAGAATTTAAATTATTAAAGAGAAAATGAGAAAAGACACTAGTTTTAGTAGTAGATCTCTTTGTTTCCTTAGCAAGACTTAGCCAGGGGCTTAACAGATATGGAACAAAGTAAGGAAAGGGTTTTTGCTCCCAGAGCAATAAAGAAGGTAACAGGCACCAACCTTCTTTTACCAGAAAGTGGCTTGTCCTTGTGAAGCGCTGTGAAAGGAGCAAGTTGACCCAGTCGCAGTTCCCTCTGACCCCACTCTGCCCAGGAGGTTTGGCGCAGGGACCCCCTAACAAGCCTTACAGCAGCTTGCGTCAACATGGCAGAACACCCTGGAACTAATGATTACCACCACCTAGCAGGAAACACAGAGATGTGGTGTCAGATGGGACAGATATTATACATACACCCAACCAACACTCTTATGGGTTGGGGCAAGGGGGCTGTTTGCACTACCTTTTAGTGTCCCATTTAACTTAAGACCCTCTTAACTGATAGCAACCCTGTAAATGACAATGTTCTCAGTCTGGCTATGAAAAAAGGTGCATATCTGGAGTCAAAAGTTAACAGCAGGTCAATCAGTAGCTTACAGGTAGGAATGATCACAACATTCTAGAATATGGGAGACAGGATGTGAGGTAGTGTTCCTGAAGTCCCTGAAGTATGTTTTCATCTTGCAGAGAAAACAGTGTTTTACTCTGGCTACAAGATGGCAATGGGAAGCACATAAAATAAGAGAAATATGTCACTATCAACTGCAAACTCTAGACAAAGCTAAAAGTGAGCCACACAAAAAACACCTCCAAGTCAAAGACAAGACTTGTTTGAAGTTTTAGGAACAAGGAGGAAAGAATTTCAGGAAGAGTCTTAGACTGCATTATTTTTATACATTATTTAACACTGGAGGGCAAAAGAATTGCAGGATCACGCTCTTTACTGTGTTCAAGAAAATTCGAAAGGGATCTTTCATTTGGGAATGAGTCTTTGAGCAGGCAGCCCATCTGTTTTTAAACTTGGGGATAATATGTGGCATAAAATGGTGCTCACTAAAGATTTCAGACCAAGGAAGTTCTAAGAACAATTAAGAAACAGAAAGAAGAGGGAGGCGAGGGAGGAGGGGAGAGGTTTCGGTAATGGGCCACAATAATCAACCACATTGTATATCGACAAAATAAAATTAAAAAAAAAAATAAAATAAAATAAAATTTACACAACACACACACACACAAAAAGAAACAGAAAGAAATCTTAATCATAAAAAAGTTATTTTAGCCCATGGTCAGTAGAAGAATATATAGCATTACCAAGATTCTTTCAGACAATGTGAGGCAGTACAGTGCAGTCAGTATAAACAATATGTTCTGCGGAGTTATGGACTTGATTTTAGACCTCTGTTCCAGAGCTTTGTATCAGTGCTAGACCATACTTGAGGAACACACACTTTAGCAATTCATTTAATCACCCAGGGCCTCAGTTTATTAATTCGAAAGACGGACATTAATGCTTCTCTTGCAGGGTTATTATTCAGATTAGACAGAAATCTTGTACAGAGGTAGCATTGTGCCTGGCACATAAAAGCTGCTCAAAAAAGTGGCAGCTGTACTGAATCTAAGAAAAGTCAGTAGAAAGGAATTGAACAGTTTTCTCAATTTATATTAAAATTATACTCTCAACTGGAAACTTTGTTTTCAAGGCATCTGTTCTTTACAACCCTAAAATTCAATTACTGATGTACTACATCAAAGTCCATTCAATTTTCCCTAAGGCAGAAGTCCAAAACCAGATTCCAAACATTTGTAGAAATCCATCAGATCACTCTAATGAAGAACAACTTTTTATGATGATATCAAGCAATATTTCCAGACATTCCTCTTCTCATTTTTCTTAAATATTAGAAGCAAAAACCCAGAGAAACACAGAAAAATGAGTCAATTCTTATCCACTAAGAGCCTAGAGCAATTTCCTCAGGGTTCGGCAAGAGGATTAAGCCTTAATGCACTAAGGCAGCCATGGTTTGTAATAATGTCACTTTTCTCCCATGACTCTGAAATGATACTAATTGCGTATCATCCTTCAGAGAGACTTGAGAAAACACTCAAATCATTGCCCGTGTACTGTGGTATTTACAGAATATAAGACATAGCCAGTTAAAGGGCGGCTAATTTCAATATATTTATGTTAACCTACACACTCCAAGGAATTGACGTGGTTAACAAAGATATGTCTGGCAGTGCTAAGGGGAGCATGGTGTACTCGGCTGAATAAGACAGTATCAACTGTTAGACACTGATCACTAACTCAGTACTCACAGATCCTTTGAATAACCCATATGGGTAGGTGCACGACAGTTTGAAATCTGATCCCTTTTAATAAGTTATGCTCAGAATGATGCTGGTGAGGCCAACGAAATTTTCAAGGTCTTTCTGAAAAGCTAGGATATTTAAAGTTTCTCCAACCTTCTCATTGGGAAGTGCCTCAATAAAAGAACGCATTTCTCAGAAGAAGCGGAGGGGGGAAAGAGTAAGTTTCGCTTTCATTTTCTGTCACCTCTCAGTTCTGGAGCTCGCATTCTCCAACCCCACAGCCGCGTTTTCTTACTCCGCGAGTACGATAGGAAGGACCCCGCCAGCGCCAGCCGGAAGCCCCGGGGCATCCCGGGGTAATGCAGTTTCCGGGAGCAGCGGCTACGTCCCAACGTGTGCGTACCCACAAGAGCCGGCAGAAAGGTCCCCCGACACGGCCGAGTCGGCGGAAACCTCGAGGCGCTTCCCAGCCCGGACTGTCATACCGCAAAGGCTTTAGTGACCCGCGGCAACACTTACTTCTTGCTCAGTTTCGGCTCGCCACCATCCACTGTCACCTCAGCCCCCTCCACCGCTGCCATCTTCCCGGAGGCCCCCAGCAAAAAAAGACGAGAGGCGCACAATTTCCGGATCAGGGTGGAAGCCCCGCCTCTTCCGGGGGTAGGGGCGCCTTCGGCGGGTCTCATTATCTGCTGCGCAGAAGCAGTGCTAGGTTACCAGTCGCGCGTTTGTGGGTACTTCCCCGTCCGTTGCGCACTGTGTGCCAGGCGCTCTTGGTGGTGCTGCTTCTCTCGTGCCTGGTGTCAGACATGGCGGAGGCGATGGATTTGGGCAAAGACCCCAACGGGCCTACCCATTCCTCAACTCTGTTCGTGAGGGAGGACGGCAGCTCCATGTCCTTCTACGTGCGGCCCAGCCCGGCCAAACGCCGGCTGTCGACGCTCATCCTGCACGGCGGCGGCACCGTGTGCCGGGTGCAGGAACCGGGGGCGCAACAGGGTAACCAGCTTCTTGTGTATCTTTTCAGAGGTTTCAGAGACTCGTTTTTAAAAAAGATTTCTTCTATGTTGGGGTAGTTTAAAGGCATGCGAGACGAGTTTATTTTCATGCTTTGGCTTAATTGAATGCCTGTTCACATAAGAAGGTTCTGTCAGTTGGGAGGTCTGTTCCGGTCTTGCTTACGTGAAAAGTGAGTTTTTGAGGCAGTTGAATTGGTAATTGGGATTCAGGTATGGTTAGGACACAGGGCAAAACTGGTAAGACGTCTTAATTTTGTTATTAATGGTATTTACAGCTTAACTGACAGACCCTTTTGTTTAAAGAGGCATGCTTCGCCCCATACCCCCTTAACTTTTCTTTACTTATGTGGCTGTTCCATGTAAGTTTCTCCTGTTCAGTATGCTTAGTAGGAATTTTGTTTTTGGTAAAAGTGACATTTCAGATTCATTCATTCAACAGATATTTGAGTGCCAGACATTGTTGTCCTGCTGGGATATAACAATAAATAAAAGTCCCTGCGGTCATGGAGCTTAACATGCTAACTGGGCAGTGGTAAGTGCTATAGAGAAAACTAAATCAGGGTAAGGGTTGGGGAGAAAGCTTTTTTCTATAAGATGATACGGGAAGGTTACTCTGATAAGCTGATATTTGAACAGAGACCAAAAGAAAGTGAAAAAGCAACTCAGGTGGAATCTGGGATATTCCAGGCAGAGGGAAGAGCAAAGACAAAGACCCATGAGAGTATGGCTGATGTGTTCTTGGAGCCACAAAGAGAACAGTGTGTCTGGAATGGAGTAAACAAGAGAGAATTTTAGCAAGTGAGGTTAGAGCTAAGTGAATGAGTGAAGTAGGTCATCATGTAGAGCCTTACTTTTGAATTAGTGATGTCGAGACTACTGGCAAGCCATTTGGAACTTGGGACAAAATTAAGCTGGATTCACCATACTCATCAAAGTAATCTTTTCATGGTCAGATATTTAAATGTAAATATTAAAATCCTAAAATAACCAAGAGAAAATATGGATGAATGTATTTTTTTAATATTAGCATGGTGATATGAAACCAAAAAGACTAAGAAAGAGTTTTATATATTTGATTACTTGAAAATTAAAAAGTGCTCACGATAAATGTAGATGGCAAACTGGAAAAATATTCCCAATACATTGCAGTAGACAGTTTCCTTAATGTCCAAAAATCTCTTAGAAATCTGTAGGTGAAAGGTAAACTAACAGAAAAACAGGCAAAGGAAGTACAAGAAGTTTCCAGAGAAGGAAATACATAACCAATAAATAAATGCAGAAATATTCTGTTATTAAGTAAAAGTAAATAAGATCCTGAGCAGAGGACCAGTATAAGCCATACCTGGACTTCTGACTCATGGAAATTGTGAGATAATAAATGTATGTGTGGGAGTTCTTGTTCTTTTAAAAACTAAATCAGAGCAAGGAAGTGTTATATTTTGTCTGTAAGACTGGCCAAAATTAACAAAATGGGCAATAGCCAAAGTTAGTGAGGTGTAGGAAAACAGGTACACTCCTATGTTGTGAAATTGATACAGTTTCTTTGGGGGCATTTTGACAGTACTTGGCATTTAAAATGTATGTTTTCTTTTTTTTAAAAAGATGACCGGTAAGGGGATCTCAACCCTTGGCTTGGTGTTGTCAGCAACACGCCCAGCCAGTGAGCAAACCGGCCATCCCTATATAGGATCCAAACCCGTGGTCTTGGTGTTATCAGCACCGCGTGAGCCACAGGCCGGCCTTAAAATGTATGTTTTCTTAAACATGGCAGTTTTGCTTCTAGGAATTTATTCTGCAGATATACTCAGAGTATGGAAGGGTACATAGTGAAAAGTCAGTCTCCCTGCTATGTACCTCTTTCCCCTGTTTCCTCTCCCAAGAGGCAACCACTATTACCATCCCTTGTCTGTTATGTTTTCCCTTTGCTCACAGTGGTACTAGAACACTAGATAGACACCAGGTTGTTCTGCAGTTTGCTTTTTATTTTAACTTAATGATTTATCTTGAAGTTTCTGTGTCTGTGCATAGCTTTTTTGCCTCATTCTTTTCTCATCGGTTGCATTGTATTATGTGAATGAACCATGATTTGTCTACATATTATAGAAAATTTTAAACATTTACAAAAATAGAATAATATAATGAACTACACCGAATGTTCCCATCATCCAACTTCACTTGATTATACTCTATGGTTAGTTTTTTTTCATCTATAACTTTCATCCCGACTTCTTGAACAATTTTGAAGCAAATGCTAAGCATAATATCATTTTATCTATTTTAGCACGTATCTCTAAAAGATAAGGTTTCTTTTAGTTATTTTTAAAATTTATATACAGTAAAATTGACTTCTTTGGTGTACAATTACATGCATTTTAAATATTTCTTCATTGTGGTAAAAAATATATAAAATTTACCATTTTATCTAAGATGAAGGCAAATTTGGTAAAATTTTTGGTTTTTAACCATTTTAGCTGTTTCTTAAGTGTTCAGTTTGATGGCATTAAGTGTATTCACATTTTTGTGCAACCATTACCACCATTCATCTCCGGAAATTCATTTTCCAAAATTCAAACTCCATACCCATTTAACACTAACTCTTCATTCCTCCGTTCCACTAGCTCTTGGCAGCCACCATTCTGCTTTCTGTCTTCATGAATTTACTCTCTTTAGGTGCCTCATATAAATAGAATTATATATTTGTCCTTTTGTGTCTGGCTTATTTCACTGAGTATAGTATCTTCAAGGTTCATCCATAGTGTAGCATGTGTCAGAATTTCATTCTTTTTTAAGGCTGAATAATCCATTGTCTGTAAATACTACATTTTGTTTACCCATTCATCTATCAGTGAATACTTGGGTTGTTTCCATCTTTTGCCTATTGTGGATGATGCTGCTATGAACAGATACTAATATCTAATTGAGGCCATGCTTTCAGTTCTTCTAGGTATATGCCCAGAAATATAATTGCTAAATCATATGGTAATTTTGTATTTAATTTTTTGAGGAACTGCCATACTTTTTTCCAGTCATGTGTATTTTAACACATGTAATGGAAACCACCACCAAAATCAGAATACAGTACAGTTTCATCACAAAAAGCTCCCTCTTGCTGCCCCTTTGTAGTAAATTTTATTAAGTGGAAAAGGAGCAGAGTTAAATCCTTAGAGAACAAAATGTAAAGAGAAATGAGGATATTTAAATTTAGGAGGCCCTTCTTTTTGTAGGTGGTATGTGGTGGATTGTGGTGCACCGCCCAGATCTGCCTTTAGCTGCTGGGAGAGCTGCCTTGCCCAAAGTCTTCTCTTAGGGCTGCCAGCATTCAGGGACTGATTTATGTGGCGTTATAAAGGCCCTATGCCTTTGCCTCAACTTGGTCAACTCCGAAGGGTCTTCCTAGCTCCAAAGTTCCTCGTGGTTTTGGCTAAGGCCTTGTCAGAACTCTTTCACAACTCAACTTCTTCTCACAAGTGTTTTCCAAGAGCACTCCCTAAAAATGCCTTAAATGTTAGTCTCCGTCTTAGAATCTGCTTCTCAGAGAACTAAGTTTTTGACACATTTTGGTTAAGTTGCAAAATCTGTAAATACAATGCAAAAAACTTGAGTAGTATTTTTATGTGTTAGAGCTTAGGAATAGTATCACCTATTAGATAGTACAACATTGTAGAAGCAGGCATAGAAATTATTGAACATGCATGTCTTATGTTCTTCTTGCCCATCTGAATCAAAAACCAATATCTTCTAATGGAAAGAAAAAGTTCAGTCTCACCCTTGGCCCAGAGCGCACATAGCATACACTATAGTTTTGGTTTGTGCAAAAGAGGCTAATGCTACTTTGTGCTGTCTTCTTTTCAATAGAACCACAGAATAAGAGAACTCCAGACTTGCCTGAAGAAGAATATGTGAAAGAAGAGATCAAGGAGAATGATGAAGCAGTGAAAAAGATGCTTGTAGAAGCCACCCGGGAGTTTGAGGAAGTTGTGGTATGTTAACTATATTTACTCATTTTTTCCCCCTACTCTCATTTTCTTCTTTGAAACTGGTTAATCCCATCTATACTTTTTATCCACCTGAGGCCCAGGAAAGTAAATGAGAAGTTCAAGATGGAAGAGGAAAATGCAAAGTGGTGTTGAGCTGGGCTTCAGGTGTTTTGTTGTGAAGCTTTGCTTCACAAAGCTTTTCGTTTTTGACATGAAGTTGAGGAGGAGAGTGAGAAAAATCAGGCAGAATAGAGACAGTTATATCTCAACCAAGTAAGGCATACCTTTTAGTACTTTGATGTTAGTATAAGCTTTTCAAAGTTAGGATGGTGGATTTATCTTTTTAAAATGTCTTTATGCTTCTCAGGAACATAATTTTAATTTTTGAAAAAGTTTATAGTTAAGGGCCAGCCCGTGGCTCACTTGAGAGAGCGTGGTGCTGACAACACCAAGTCAAGGGTTAAGATCCCCTTACCGGTCATCTTTAAAAAAAAAAAAAAAAAAAAAGTTTATAGTTATTTTTTATCAAGCAAGTTTAGCTTTTTTGTGAACTTAGGGCTTTTTTGGAATGTTTTAGCTCTTCCATATTCAGTCTTCTAATACTCTGAATCCCATATTTAATAAAAGCTATTGAGAAAGGTAGGAGCCATAAACTAATGATGAATTAAAAAAAAATTTCTATAGATTTTCTCTAAGAGAAAGGATCTTGTGAATTAACTTTGCTTATTATCACAAAGAAAAATGGCTAGGCTTCAGTTTAAGAGAAGGAAGTAATTTAAAGTTTCTGTAATTGGTGAGTGAAGAAATGCACAGGATTTGGCAGAATTTAAGGATTGTTGCTTTTTGTAGTTTGCATTTCATTTTATTATTTGATATTTGATATATTTTCCATAAACGGTCAAACACTCTCAACAGCTCTCATACATAACCTACATAGTTCTCTTCTTATATAGCATGCTTTATTGTGTGCCTAAATGTAGTGTAGCTTGGAAGCCCTAATATATTGAAACAGCAAATATTTTGTTTTCTGTTTTTAAATTATTTTTAATTGATACATAATAATTGTACATATTTATGGGCTACAGTGTGATATTCTGATACCTGTATACAATGTGTAATGATCAAATCAAGGTAATTAGTATATCCATCACCTTGAACAATTATTTCTTTGTGTTGGGAACATTCAAAATCCCATCTTCTAGCTATTTGAAAATATAGAATAAAGTATTGTTAGCTATAGTCACCCTATAGTGCTATAGAACACTAGAACTTATTCCTCCTGTCTAGCTGTAGTTTTGTATCTGTTAACCAATCTCTTCCTTGCTCTCTTCCCCCCTTCCCAACCCTTCACAGCCTCTAGTTACCACTATTCTACTTCCTACTTCTTTGAGATCAATGTATTTAATTCCTATATATAAATGAGAATATGTGGTATTTATCTTTCTGTGCCTGGCTTATTTCTCTTAATATAATGTCCTCCAGATTCATCTATGATGCCACAAATGACAGGATTTTACTCTTTTTTTTTTTTTTTTAAAGATGACTGGTAAGGGGATTCCAACCCTTGACTTGGTGTTATCATCACCACGCTCTCTCAAGTGAGCTAACCGGCCATCCCTGTATAGGGATCCAAACCTGTGGCCCTGGTGCCATCAGTACCACACTCTCCCAAGTGAGCCATGGGCCGGCCCTGGATTTTACTCTTTTTTAATGGCATTTCATTACAGCAGTTATTTTTGAGTACTTATTATGTACAGGCATTGGTAGACATTGGAGGTGCAGTGATGAGCAAAACATGATTCCTACCCTTAAGTAGCTTACAATCTGGGAATGAAGTCAAACATTGAACAAATAATCTAATGAACACATGTACCACATATATGTGTTTATGTATATACGCATATATTTTTATATTCACTGTAGCTTCTAATACTCTGGTGAAATACCATAATCAATTACACACACACACACACATACAGACAGGAGGGTACTTCAAAAAGTTCATGGGAAAACAGAATTAAAAGATAATACGTAGAGTGCAGCCTTATAGCACCAAGGTGATGGGTTCGGATCCCCATACTGGCCAACCACTAAAAAGAAAAAAATATGAATCTTCCTATGAACTTTATGAAGTACCTTTATATATTATATACACCCTCCATACCTACACACACTTCCCCCACCCTCTCCTACATACACACATATATACACATAACTTGTATACTCACATATCCAATGCAAGTAAATGTAGGAAGGAACATAGCATATTAGAGAAACTGAAGGAAGTCCAGTGTGATTGAAGTCAAAGGGCAAGTGGGGGGCTAGTAGTTGTAAGAGACCAGATATTGCCAGTGTTCAAGACTTGGTGATTAGGAAGTGGTCTAACTCATTCTCTCTAGGTGGACGAGAGCCCTGATTTTGAAATACATATAACGATGTGTGATGATGATCCACCCACACCTGCCGAAGACTCAGAAACACAGCCTGATGAGGAAGAAGAAGAAGAAGAAGAAAAAGTTTCCCCACCAGAGGTGGGAGCTGCCATTAAGATCATCCGGCAGTTAATGGAAAAGTTTAACTTGGATCTATCAACAGTTACACAGGCCTTCCTAAAAAATAGTGGTGAGCTGGAGGCCACTTCCTCCTTTTTAGAGTCTGGTCAGAGGGCTGATGGATACCCCATTTGGTCCCGACAAGATGATATAGATTTGCAAAAAGATGATGAGGATACCAGAGATGCATTGGTCAAAAAATTTGGTGCTCAGAATGTAGCTCGGAGGATTGAATTCCGAAAGAAATAATTGGTATGATAATGAGAAAAGAAAGAAGGCATGGCAGATGAGGCGGGTTAAAAAAAAAATTTGTGACCATTGAACTTTAAAGAGTTCTTATATTAGAACTGACACTTAGCTTTTGACCAGTGCTGTTGTTGCTCTGTGAGTCCTAGATTTTGTAGCCAAGCAGAGTTATGTAGGAGGATAAAAATAAAAGAAATTGGATATATTTTGAGCTGTTCCTAGCAAATATCAGTGTGTTTGTGAAAGGAAAGTCTATACTAGAGAGTGGTTGGTT